CTCAAGCCTGTCATCTCTGCCGCCACCACCTGCGGCCCCTGCCTCAGGGCCACCCCTGAGTGCCACACAGATCAAACAAGAGCCAACTGAGGAGTACGAGACCCCAGAGAGCCCCGTGCCCCCAGCCCGGAGCCCCTCGCCCCCTCCCAAGGTGGTAGATGTGCCCAGCCACGCCAGTCAGTCTGCCAGGTGAGCAGCCTGGGTCGGGTGCCGGTGGGTTTGGAGTCGGGGTACGGTGGACACTGGAGCCTCGTGTTTATGTGGTGTTTTTTAGAAGTACACTAAACAGCTCTCTGCCTTCACGGAGGCTGCTTTTGAGGATGGAGCAGGATGGCCGCCGGGCGGCTAGCAGGAACTGAGCGCGTACTGCCTCCGCGCCCCACAGGTTTAACAAACACCTAGACCGCGGTTTCAACTCGTGCGCGCGCAGCGACTTGTATTTCGTGCCGCTGGAGGGCTCCAAGCTGGCCAAGAAGCGGGCCGACCTGGTGGAGAAGGTGCGGCGCGAGGCTGAACAGCGAGCGCGCGAAGAAAAGGAGCGCGAGCGGGAGCGGGAGCGCGAAAAGGAGCGTGAGCGCGAGAAAGAGCGCGAGCTCGAACGCAGCGTGGTAAGTGCGTCACAAAATGCGCCACCCGCCGCCTTTCCCTCCCTTCTTGGCGCTGCGTAGTTGGGCTCCGGATGGGCTGGGACTGGGGCTAGGGGCGAGACGAGAATCACTTCGCCACCTGTCGGAGAGGATGAACCACTGCAGCCCATAACTAGGAGCCTAAGAGGATTGCAGTGGGAGCAATCTATTTCTGAGTTTGGGGAAGGCTTGCTCAGGTCAGACTACCAGTAGATCACAAGAAGGGCAAATTTGCGGCGGGGTCGGGGTGCAGGGACGTTCTTTCACAGTCAGGGTTGCAACATTCTTTTATAAGCATCGTGGCATTCAGTTGCTCAGACAGTTGGGCAACTTGGGACTAGCCAAATATCCTCATAGGTCCTCTTTTAACTCCACTTCTTCCTCTACCCCACAGAAGTTGGCGCAGGAGGGCCGTGCTCCAGTGGAGTGCCCATCTCTGGGCCCAGTGCCCCATCGCCCTCCATTTGAGCCTGGTAGTGCTGTAGCTACAGTGCCCCCCTACCTGGGTCCTGACACTCCAGCCCTGCGCACTCTCAGTGAATATGCCCGACCGCATGTCATGTCTCCTGGCAATCGCAACCATCCATTCTACGTGCCGTTGGGGGCAGTGGACCCGGGGCTTCTGGGTTACAATGTCCCAGCCCTGTACAGCAGTGACCCAGCTGCCCGGGAGAGGGAGCGGGAAGCCCGTGAACGAGATCTCCGTGATCGTCTCAAGCCTGGCTTCGAGGTGAAGCCAAGTGAGCTGGAACCCCTACATGGGGTCCCTGGGCCAGGCCTGGATCCCTTCCCCCGACATGGGGGCCTGGCTCTGCAGCCTGGCCCTCCTGGCCTGCACCCTTTCCCTTTTCATCCAAGCCTGGGGCCTCTGGAGCGAGAACGTCTAGCGCTGGCAGCTGGGCCAGCCCTGCGGCCTGACATGTCCTATGCTGAACGGCTGGCAGCTGAGAGGCAACATGCTGAAAGGGTGGCAGCCCTGGGCAATGACCCACTGGCCCGGCTGCAGATGCTCAACGTGACCCCTCATCACCACCAGCACTCTCACATCCACTCTCACCTGCATCTGCACCAGCAGGATGCCATTCATGCAGGTGAGACCCCTGCTTCCTGGCTTTGACCTGTGGGGCTGCCTTACCTGATTGGGCTCTTCTGTTTCTCAGACCCACTTCCCATTACTGTTCTGACAGAACCTCTCCTGAGAAAGCTCCCCTGATTTTTGCCTCCCTGACTTTCCTCCATGCACTTGCTTAGCTGTAGAGCTTGTGCATTCTCCACACCCCTTCCCCTCTGATAGAGGCCCAAGCTGGAGTCTTTTTGAGGGCACACCACTTTTCCATCCTTGCATCCCTTTTCCCAAAGCCCTTAGCATACTAATTTTCTTGTTCCCCTGGATTCAAATCTTGTTTCTTGCCATCCTTTCCTTCTGTTCCATCTGGAGATCTTTTATGTTTCTTCCCATCTCTAGGTCTGAAACCCCCTAGAAAGGGCTCTTTAACTTTGTTTTGGGTGTTACAGGCAATAATGAGCTTTACTTACTATCCTTTTTCCATATTTCTTTATAAGAAACTTTTATAATATTTTACAAACATTGCCCAGCCTAGCCTTACACTCATGTTCAGTTTGGGATCTCTTGTTCTGTCTTCTTAATCTCCCTACTCTTCCTGTTTCATTTTCTAAACTTCCATCATCTCCCACCTTCTCAAAGTAAGTTTACTCTCTCTTTCCTCATTCTCAGAACCCTCTGGCAACTGTAATCTGACATCTGTGTGTCCCTACTCCTGCAGGGTCTCTTCTTGTCCATCCCCCAGGTCTCTAGTGCTTCTATTCTACCTTTGTTCCACTTTGGATCCCCTTGTGTTTGTCCATGTTTCTTCCCAGACTCAGATCCCCCACCCAAATGCATGTTTTTTACCAAAACATGCCTTCTAGTGACACATTCCTCTTTTCTGCCCTCTAGCCTCTGCCTCGGTGCACCCTCTCATTGACCCCCTGGCCTCAGGGTCTCACCTTACCCGGATCCCCTACCCAGCTGGGACCCTCCCTAACCCCCTTCTTCCTCACCCTCTGCACGAGAACGAAGTTCTTCGTCACCAGCTTTTTGGTAAGGATAGAGGTTGGGGGTAGGGAAGCACTAATGAGAGGACAGAATGCGGGTATTGGGGATGGGTCTAGTGAGAGTTGGGAGGCATGAATAGCTGGAATAAGAATAGGAGAGCTGCAGCTCAGGAGGCTGAGGCAGGAGGATCATGAATTCAAAGCCAGCTTTAGCAAAAGTGAGGCACTAAGCAACTAGTGAGACCTTGTCTCTAAATAAAATACAAAATAACGCTGGGGATGTGGCTCATGGCTGAGTGCCCCTGAGTTTGATCCCTGATACAAAAAAAAAAAAAAAAAAATAGGAGAGCTGAGGTTTTGCTCAAGAGAGGCTCAGGTTTTAGAGCCAGGCTAAGAGGTTTGACTTCTAATTCCATTCCACCATTGGCAGCTTGCAATATGGGCAGCGTTACTTTATTTTCTACTGTTTTCTCTGTATGTAAAATGGCTGTCTAACCCCTGGCCCAAAGCATGTACTCAGTATCCATCAGTCATGTGCCCCTTGCTTTCCTACTCACAGCTGCCCCTTACCGGGACCTGCCAGCCTCCCTCTCTGCCCCAATGTCTGCAGCTCATCAGCTGCAGGCCATGCACGCGCAGTCTGCTGAGCTGCAGCGCTTAGCGCTGGAACAGCAGCAGTGGCTGCATGCCCATCACCCGCTGCACAGTGTGCCGCTACCTGCCCAGGAGGACTACTACAGGTACTGTGGGGTGTTCACAGACCACGAGTCAGGGAAGAAGGGCTAGGCCAGCATGGGATGGGCAGTAGGGCAAGTAGAATCCTAGGGGAGGAACCCCCTGCTTTCCATCTTTATCTGTGAAGAAGACAAGGTCACAGTTGATCTCAGTCTCTCATTTCTCTGCCATGCATCACTTCTTCCCTAGTCACCTGAAGAAAGAAAGTGACAAGCCACTGTAGAACCTTCAATCAAGAGAACACCATGGCTCCTACATCTGAACCTTGAAGGACCCCCTCCTAGCTGCCACCCAGAGCCAAGGAGAGGGTGCTATTCAGTTGCAGGGCCTCCACAGCTGGGCAGAGGGAGGGAGGAAATAAGGAACGGACAGAAGGCCAAGGCCCAGGTGGTGTGCACAAGGCAGAGGTGGGGAGGTGGTAAAGGTGGGGACGGAAAGTGCACAGTTTCTTGGACCAGGTCCCTCTTCTTTTGTGCCCTGCTTTCCTCCTCCCCTATGCCCAGCCCTCGGTGGTCACTGCCCTTTCCCCACCCCGTTGGTGTGATTATTTCATCTGTTAGATGTGGCTGTTTTGCGTAGCATCGTGTGCCGCCCCTGCCCTGCCCCTTCCCAATCCCTGTGTGCGCGCCCCCTCTGCGATGTACGCCCCTTACCCTTCCCCACATTAATAATTTATATATATAAATATCTATATGATGCTCTTTAAAAAACATCCCAACCAAAACCAACCAAACAAAAACATCCTCACAACTCCCCAGGAAGATGGCTGTGACTTGTTCTTTGTGGGCTAAGGGGGTTCGGGTGAGGTCTTGTTGCAACAGGGAAGTGGGAAGGGATGGGATTATTAAGGAACTGGGTGTAGGGACCCAAAAGAGTTGAACAGGGACCTCAGAAGAACTCAGATTCTTGGCTCTGCTAGCAATGGTATACTGTGGTGCTAGGCCTTTCCTTGACCCCAGCAAGGAGAGGCCTGGGATGAGCCTACATCTGGCAAACCCAGATCAAAGAAACTACTTAAATCTTGGAGGTGTTCCCATCACTGATCCTACTAGGTGCCACCTGAGGCCTCTAATGAGAGCCTCAGGGTAGCGAATCCTTTCCGAGAATAGTCTGAGGCACTTTATGAAGTGCGAGCGGGATGAGTGTAGCTTCAGTAAACTCATGTGATTAGGACTTGGCCTTCAGTGGGTGACAATTCCAAACGCCTGGAAGGGAAAGGATATAGAGCGTTATGCAGCACGACCTACAACTATACAAGGCCATTTTAAAAGGCCCGAAGGGTTCTCGTTTTGAGCTTTCATGCTGCGAATCACTGTCTTGGTTCTTAAGAAAGGGGCTGTGATTGGCTGCTTTCTCAGCCAGTCAGCATAGAGCTCATTTGCATACATGAAATCAAACATTCACAAACTCTAGAAATGAATCAGTTAAGTAAATTCCTTAGAATATTGTTTTTCTTACCGAAGGTCATAATATGTCCTATTGCTTCTACATTAGCAGGGGTTCGAAAAGCACCACTTTGATCTCACCCTCACTAATAGTGGAGTTAATGTACACCCCAAGTTGGCTCCATGCTTTCTTTCATAAGTGTTGCAGCTCTTTTAGAATTTGTCTAGCAGGCTTTCTGGCAGTTGCTGGAAAGCCCCTCTCCCATGATTTGTCTGTAACGACAGAATTGCTCTCATTGGCTGGTGCAGTTCTTTATTTTCCCGAATAAACAGAGTCAGGAATTTACAGTCACCGAAATTAAGGCTCAGCTAACACTTCCGGCTACGGATGATGCTGTTTCCCCTCCGCCTCCACCAGCCTTGAGAACTGCTGTAGGAGGTGGCTTGTTTGTCTAGGTTTTTTCATTTCTCGTTTTTTGTTTTATATCTTCGCTGCACGTGCAGCTTTCGTCGTTCTATGGCGTCTGCCGCGGCCCAACCCGCGCCCCTGAGCGCGGAGCAGGCCAAGGGTGAGAAGCACCTTAGTCATGGTTTGGGTAGCCTGTTGCGGTGGGGGTTACTGGGCCAAAGACCCAGCCACTTTCCGCGGGAAACGGGGACGGAGGGCATGGCATACTGTCCCTTTCCTCCACCTATGTGGGGTCCTTGCTCCTAGTGGAATTCGGATTATGAGCTTTACCGGGTTACTTACGTTCTCGATTCACTAATTCCCCGCCCTCTTCCCTGCGCTTTCTGCTGGGCCTGCCGGCCATGTCCTGGCGCCCACCCCGGGACGCCTCCCTGGGCTGCATCTTGTGCGTAGTGGTCCTGGCGGAGGTGATCCAGGCGTTTTCGGCCCCGGAGAACGCCGTGCGCATGGATGAGGCTAGAGACAATGCGTGCAACGACATGGGCAAGATGCTGCAATTCGTGCTGCCCGTGGCCACGCAGATCCAACAAGAGGTTATCAAAGCTTATGGCTTCAGCTGCGACGGGGAAGGTGGGTCGGACGCGGGTCGGCGGTGGGGTGGTTGGGGGGAGGGCGCAGAATGTGTGGGCCCCAGTGCTGCCGTCCTCTTTCTTGCCACAGGGCGGCAGCCACAATCTAACAGTATTGGCACACGCAGCCCAAGACCTACCATGAACTTTTGCAGGCGACGTCCTAAATGCATTTTTTTAAAAAATATTTTTTAGTTGTTGATGGACCTTTATTTTATTTACTTATTTATATGTGGTGCTGAGAATCGAACCCAGTGCTTCACACGCGCGAGGCAAGAGCTCTACCGCTAAGTTACGACTCCAGCCCTCTAAGTGCATTTTGTTTTTACTATTAGTAAAATAATAGTCACACCATTTTTCCATATTAAGATGGAACAGACTTTAAAGCAAAACAAGTGCCCCGGGTAACAAGTACTAGGAACTTGAACCCCGTCGTTTTGGTAGTTTTAGCAAGATGTCTGCATGACAGTACACTCTGTAGTTCCTGAAAGGTGTTTCAGCTAATCAGTTCAAGGCTTAGAGGTTGAATTTCCCAAGCGTGTGCATTGATTCAGTCCAGCTGCCCCACTGTCTTCCTGTGTCCCGCTATAGATATGGGATCTCATGGATGTTCATACTTGGGGTTCTTGTGACTAGTGCTAAAATGGCCCACCTCAGACTGAGCAGCACACTATTTCTGGGATATTTTTATTCACTGCATCCCATCCTGTTGTAACCAGTACAGACCAGAAGTGATTGATCCAAACCCTGCAGAGCCAGTATTTCATATTCAAGCCACCCTCCACCCCCCACTAGCTGTCTTTGTCACACTGGGCCCCAGAGTGTGAGTTGACTGTCCACTCCCTCTTCCAGGTGTCCTTAAGTTTGCTCGCTTGGTTAAATCCTATGAAGCCCAGGATCCTGAGATTGCCAGCCTGTCAGGAAAGCTGAAGGCTCTGTTCTTACCACCCATGACGCTGCCGCCCCATGGGCCTGCTTCTGGTGGCAGCGTGGCTGCCTCCTGAGAGTTGGCCTTTCCCTGTGCTGCTGCAAGGGAGAGGAGGAACCTCAGGTGTTTCAGAGGAAAATAAATGTACCTGTGACTTAATCCTGTGTCAGTCTTTTGTGACCTTGACAACCCACTCCTATCCCCCAACCTCCTTGGATTCCTTGTGCCTTTCCAGGTTGCTACATTCCCTTGTGAAAGTCCTTCTTGTAACTTCCTGCTGTGCCCAACCCAACTCCAGTGAGAGCCTAAGGCTCCTCCCCTCACGGAAAGGCAGGTGAGAGGGTGGGTCTACACAGGTGGCACCTCCTTCTTTGAGAAATGGGTTTCCGGGGTTTTTCCTTGAACTCCTTGGTTTCCATAGACTGAGAGGTTCCCCATTGGTCGGTGTTCCCTTGGCCAGCATTACTTCCTGGTCTTTGCCCCTACTTTATCAGCTGGCACTCCAGGTGGAGCTGCAGGTAGCTCCTCCCCTCTTAAGAGAAGGAAGCCCTGGACTGGCAGGCTGCCCGTTGGACTAGAGTCGGGTAGCGGGGGCGAGCAGGCTGCTGTGGGCGGTCTCAGACCAGCCCCGCCCCACCTGTTCTTTCCCCGGAGACCATTAGTTCAGGGGCTTGTCCTTTCAGTGCTGTTGGCCTGGAGGGCTGGATCGAGGAGGAAGTGGCTGAGATCAGGCGTGTTCTTCCTTCCTGGACCACTGTGCACAACTGTGCCACTGGCTCCTCCCCACCCCCTGTGGCCCTCTGTCTGTGATTCCCCCATCCTTCCAAGGAGATGCTGTCCCGTGGGTAAGTCCTCTGTACCACTGGGTTCCAAAGTCTGTAAGTTTGGGAGGGAGGGACATTGTTCATGTTTATTCCCAACAGGTGCGTGATCATGATTATAATCTGCTGCTGCCCCTGCCCATGCCTGTTTCCTGTCCCTGGGGACTTTCTCCTCCCCACAAGATATAAAGACCCTTAGGCTCATTCATGCTTCTCTGTCCTTTTTCTTTCACACTTTTCCCCTGATAGATGTGTATCTTTTCTCACCATCACATTTCTATCTCCAATCTCTGGACCTCTTCTCTGCCTTCTATCTAGGACCTTTTCCCCTGAGTAGTTCACATCACCTCAAACATGATAGTCTGAAAGGCACACCAGAGAAGACTCCCATTTCTAGCACTTGCCAACCTCTGGCCTTGGTTCCATTTTGTTTCCCTTCACTTCCCCCTCCCCTGCAACATTCATTCAATGGGTACATGTTGAGTATCTGCTATGTGCCAGGTATGTTTAAGATTCTGGTGGGAAAAAAAAAAGATGCTGGTGATACTGGAGTGAATGAGATAGACATGGTCCCTGCTCCCCCAGAGCTGACATTCCAGTGAAAGGTGACAGACTGAACAGACAATGCAATAAAACAGAATTATTTCATATGTTCAGAAATGTTATACAGGAAATGAAACAACTTCATGTGCTAACAAGAGACTGGTGACATTACTAGCTGGTGGAGTCAGGGAGGGCTTCCTGAGAAGGTGACATTTGAACTGACAGGAGTCAAGCACCTCTGTGCAGAGGAAATGGTGAATATAAAGCCCGCTGTGGGAACACATAGGAAGAGGACCGTGTGCCTATAGCAGAGGAACCCATAGAGAGGAAGGAGGACCAGGGTAGGTTAGACTTTGTTGGAGTTTGGATATTATGTGTGAAAACCTGCATACACAATGTTGGTGACTTCGTGTATTGGTTGCCCCCACCCCAGTCCTGCTGATTCTTGCTTCTTACATTCATATGTGTCATTTCTGCTTACACTGTCTCCCTCACTACATGCCTTGTCATTGTTAGCCCCACTAATGGGGACTCTTCTAGTTCCCGAGCCCTTCCATACTCCTTCCATGATCATTTTCTCATCAAGTGGCTCAAAAGACCTCTCCCAGGGCTGAATCCTTTCTTGGTTCTTCATCCTAAACATATGAGATCCTCTGAATCTGGTCCCAGCCTCTCTAGATTTGTTACAGCCACACTGCCCTGCTTACACTGGTCTCTGCTCAAGTGCATCTGTTCATGCTAACTCTGGTTGCCTCCTGCCTCTGTGGGGAACACCTACTCACTCCATCTTCCATGATGGGATGTGCTAGTACCCATGTCTGCCCACAGCAGTGTGGTTGGTGTGGTAGACAGGGCAACAGGCTCTGGCACCAGACAGACTTGGTTTGTTCACCTTCCCACTCATTAGCTTGTGACTGGCTGTTACTTAACATCTCTGAATCTTTGTTTTTGTTTCTAAAATTGGGCTAGTGCAACTTAATAGGGTTTGTGGTATGTGCCTGTGTGCCAGCTACTCAGGAGGCTGAGGCAGGAGAATGACAAATTTGAGGCTAGCCTCAGCAACTTAGCAAGACCCTGTCTCAAAATAAAATGAAAAGTGTGTGTGTATACGGGTGTGGCAGGTGCTATATCTCAGAAGTAGAATCCCCAGTAACAGACAATAAATATAAACAAATAGGGCTGGGTGCGGTGGAGCAAGCGTGTAATCCTAGTGGCTCTGGAGGCTGAGGCAGGAGAAACTCTAGTTCAAAGCCACCCTCAGCAACAGCGAGGCACTAAGCAACTCAGTGAGACCCTGTCTTTAAGTAAATTCAAAATAGAGCTGGAGATATGGCCCAATGGTTGAGTGCCCCTGAGTTCAATCCCCAGTACCCCCCCACAACAACAAAAAATCCAAATAGGGTTGGAATGAGAATTAATAATACAGCGGTCCCTTAGCATCGATGGAGAGATGGTTCCTGAACTACCTAGATACCCAAATCTATGAATGCTTGAGTGTCTTGGTTAAATGGTATAACGTGAGCCATGGCATGCATGGCTGTAATCCCAGCTACTTGAAGGGCTGAGGTAGGAGGATTGCAATTTCAAGGCCAGCTTTTGCAATTGAGCAAGACCCTGTCTCAAAATATAATAAAAAAGACTGGGGATGTAGCTTAGTGCTTGAGCCTCTGGGATCAATCCCTAGTACGCCAATGAATGAGTGAATGAATGAATGAATAAAATGTACAGTATTTGCATAGAACATTTGCACATCCTCTGGTATATTTTAAATCACCTCTAGAATATTTACAATACTGAATACAATGCATGTGCTATGTAAATTCTTGTTACACTGTATCATTGAGGGAATAACGATGAGAAAAAAGTCTATATATGTTCAGTACAGATATAATTAAAACATATAAATTTTCCATTATCCATGTTCAGTGACCCACACCTGTAATCCCATTGACTTGGGAAGCTAATGCAGGAGAATGATAAATTTGAGGCCAGCCTCAGCAACTTAGTGAGGCCCTAAGCAAGTTGATGAGACTCTGTCTTAAAGTAAAAAATATAAAGGTCTGGGAATGTGGTTCAGTGGTAAAACAGCTCTGAATAAAATTCCCAGTACCAATAAATAAATACATACATAGAGAGATAAATAGTTTTCCATCCATGGTTGGTTGAACCCGCAGATGAGAAACTCTCAGATACCGACCGCTGACTATATGAGGCAACCTGATAGGATACCTGTCTTCACCCTGGCCCAGGGACACCCTCATCTCAGGAGTCTCTGAACTCTTGAACTCTACCACTTGCCATCTTATTTCTCTCTCTCTCTCTCTCTGGGGGGGGGGGGTACCAGGGATTGAACCCAGGGGTGCTTCACCACTGAGCCACATCCCCAGCCACAGGGTCTTGCTGAGTTGCTTGGGGCCTCACCTCACTAAGTTGCTGAGATTGGCTTTGAACTTGTGATCCTTCTGCATCAGCCTCTCAAGCCACTGGGATTACAGGTGTATGCCACTGCACCTGGCTTTTCTTTTTTGAGATGAGTTCTCACTATGCTGCCCAGGTTGGCCTTCAACTTCTGGGCTCAGGGAATCCTTCTGGCTCAGCCTCCAGAATTGCTGGGTTAATATTTTACATCATATTTAGAAAATATTATTAAACACATTTATCAGATGGGGATACTGAGGCTCAGAAAAGTCCAACGACTAAGGATTATTTCACATTGTTTGCTCTTCCAGGCTGCCTGTCTTCCTGCATCACCACTGATCTTGATTTCTGTCTCCCTGCTTCCCAAGAGAATACTTTTCTGAATGATTACTGAGCTGTCCGAGGTCCAAGAGGGATGACTGTTTATGTGCAAGTGTTCTGTCCACTTCAGTGTACTATGCCATCATAAGGGAGGGTTGTTATTATTTATTTTCCTGCCCAGGGACAGCAGGATTATACTATTTTTTTTTTTTATTGGTTGGTTTTCTTTTTGGTACTGGGGATTGAACTCAGGGGCACTTAAACACTGAACCACATCCCCAGCCCTTTTTTATATTTTATTTAGAGACAAGGTCTCACTGAGTTCTTTAGGGCCTTGCTCAGTTGCTGAGGCTGGCTTTGAACCTATGATCCTCCTGCCTCAGCCTCCCAAAATGCTGGGATTATAGCCATGCACCACTGTGCCCAGCTGTTTTGTTTTTCATTTGTTCTGGGAATTGAGCTGAGGGTCTCACACTTACTAGCTCTACTGCTGAGCTATGTGCTTGTTCCTTTTTATTTTATTTTGAGACAGGACCTTGCTAAATTGTTGAGATTGGCCTTGACCTTTTGGTCCTCCTGCCTCAGCCTACTAAATTGCTTGCATTACATGCTTGCACCACTGTGCCTAGGGGGACTATGAATTTCATCTGAGTATCAGTCTGTCTTCTGGCTTGATACCCCTGGAAGAAATTCCTACCTCTTCCATGGATCAGGAGTTTTGGGTGCCTAGTTTGTTCCTTGCCACCAGGTGGATTTAACCTTGGAGGGAGAATGTGATGGGTGTAATGGGTATTTGATGCTGAGCATGCACCTGAAATTTAGTTTGTAATCAGAATTGTGTGTCCATGTTGGGATTTTGCCTGGATCATGAAGTGGGTCTGGTGGGACTGTGCACATGGGAGTGGTGTGCTCTTGTGTGCACTCATCTGTAGAGACCAAGTAAGGTGTGTTTGGGACCAAGAAGATATACTTGTGACCTTGTCTGTGCACATGTATTGATGTGTTTGTTCACTGGACACGTTCTGTGTGCCAGGCACTGTGCTAGGCTCTGAATGT